CCAGGGATAGATGATATACAGCGATTTTTTCATTTGCGTTCGTGCCTAAAAGATGAGGCGGCACAAGTTATAATGTATATAGAAACGACAGCCGCAAATTATAACGTAGCGTGGAATAGCGTGGTGTCTCGATATAATAATAAAAAGGTGTTAGTGCAGTCACACACGAAAGAGTTGTTCGATATTCCGGCGATAAACGAGGAAGCTGTACAATTAAGAAAATTAGTAGATCAATTAAATGGTCATATAAACGCGTTGGAAGCACTAGGAGAGAAACCTAGAGAGTGGGGCTCAATATTACTGCACCTTATCGCAACTAAATTAGATTCCAGTACACTCAAAGCGTGGGAAACGGTATCTCCTAAAAATGAAATACCCAAAGTACAAGTGTTACTTGAATTTTTAGAAAAGAGATTTAAAGTAATTGAAGCAGTGGAGACCTCGTCAAGTATAAATGTCCGTAATGACGAAAAAATAAAATATAATATGATTAACAGTAAAAAAACCAAAAATAACCACAAATCAATCGCGTTTCCAACATATGGTGGTGTGAAATGTTATAATTGCCAATTAGCGCACTCGATATATAAATGCCCATCTTTTCTTGCTTTACCGGTTCCCGATCGAATAAAAAGGGTGGGTGAACTTCAATTATGCAAGATATGTATTCGGTCTCATATCGGAAAGAAATGTGATGGAAAAAAATGTTTTCAATGTCATAAGGCGCATAACACATTATTACATTTAAAAATAAATAATAAGACGGAGAGTAATTCTTCAGAGCAATTTAAAGATAATACCGAAGAAATACCCACGACAAGCAATTTGAGTATATCGGCACACGCATCAGCGATAAGCTATAGACAAGTGCTCCTATCAACCGCAGTAATTAACGTATTTAATAATGATGGCAAACCGGTAAGGTGCAGAGTTTTATTGGACTCCGGTTCACAAAATAATTTTATCACAGAGCATATGGCGCAAATGTTAAGATTGCGACGTAAAAAAGTTACTTATGATGTAGCTGGAATCGGGCACGCATTACATACCATAGGATCCGAGATTACGGTAACGGTGAGTTCCTGTATAACGGATTTCAAAGCAAATATATCATGTTTAATAATACCTTGTATAACAAAAAATATTCCGATAAGCACGGTAAATACGGAGACCATAAATATACCAAATAATATTGTACTAGCCGATAAATCATACAATAGACCACAACGCATAGATATGTTGATGGGTATTGAATTATTTTTCGATTTATTAGATCAAGGTCAAATTAAATTAAATGAAAATGGCCCTATATTGAAAGAAACAAAGTTTGGTTGGATTGTGGCAGGTCCAATTTCTAATAATAAATCGAATTTAAAAGAGACACAAAATATTTGTTTAAGTACGTATCAAGTAGATGATAATTTAGATGAAAAGATTGCGAAGTTTTGGAGATTGGAAAATATAGATAAAAATACTCATTATACATTGGAAGAAAAGGCTTGTTACGATCATTTTACTAAAACAGTACGCCGCGACGATACGGGCAAATTTGTCGTACGGTTGCCGTTCCGGGAAGACATTAGCAAATTGGGTAATTCTTATAAAAACGCGTACAGACGATTTCTGTCTACAGAAAAACGATTAGAACTAAATAAAAAGTTAGATAAGGATTATCAGCAATTCATGTATGATTACCTATATCTTGGTCACATGGAACCGCTGCGCGGCGCGGGGGAAGGGTCGGTCAATGAACCAGGCTATTTTCTACCGCATCACGCTGTAGTAAACGATAACAGTAGCACCACTCGTCTGCGCGTAGTATTCGACGGTTCTAGTAAAACCGATACAGGGATAAGCTTAAACAATGTCCTGTTAAAAGGACCAACAATACAAGACGATTTATTAAATATTTTGGCTAGGTTTCGTACACACAAATACGCTATATCCGCAGACATATCGAAGATGTACCGTCAAATTTGGATTGCACCGGAGCATCGGAAATATCAAAAAATATTTTGGCGTGAAAATAAGGAACAGCCTATGCAAATATTTCAATTAAATACGGTCACTTATGGTATTGTCTCGGCATCGTTCTTAGCTACCGCGTGCTTGTATAAACTAGCGGAGGACGAGCATAGTAATTTTCCAAAAGCGTGTAATACAATAAAAAATGACTTTTACATGGATGATTATTTAGGGGGTGCAAATACGAAAGAGATGGCCATACAATTACGTAATGATTTGCGAACAGTGTTACAATCCGGTGGCTTTAACTTACGAAAATGGTCTGCCAATGATCCGGAGTTATTAAAAAATTTAAATACGGAAAATAGTGATTCTATGTTGGTACTCGAATTAGAAAACGAAATGGCGAAAGTTCTCGGGGTACTGTGGCATCCTAGGAAAGATATATTTCAATATAAAGTACAGGATACAAGTTCGGAAATTCAATCGACAACAAAGAGAAGCATATTAGCGCAAATAGCTTCATTGTTCGACCCACTCGGTTTAGTGGGACCTATAATTATAAAGGCAAAAATTTTAATGCAAGAAATGTGGAGGTTAAAAAATTGATTGGGATAAACCGGTACCGACGAAAATGCAAGATGAGTGGACGAAATATTTACACGAATTGGCAAGTTTACGGGAATTGTGTATACCGCGTTTTTTGTGTACGGAAGATAATTGTTATATAGAGGTTCATGGTTTCGCTGACGCCAGTTTAGCCGCCTATGGCGCGTGCATATACGTCCGCACTACAAATAATAGTGGTGTTTGTACATCGCATTTATTGTGTGCAAAATCTAAAGTTGCGCCTTTAAAAGTTATATCACTTCCCCGATTGGAACTATGTGCGGCCGTAATTTTGGTAAGGCTGTACAATAAAGTAATACCAAAATTAGGTATACAAATACAACGGCGATATTTTTGGTCTGATTCGTCAATCGTCTTAGCCTGGGTAACTTCACCTTCTACGCGTTGGCAAACATTTGTTGCGCATAAGGTGGGGGAAATTCACGATCTTAGCTCAGTAAACGAATGGCACCATATTGGAACTAAGGACAATCCCGCGGATATTATTTCACGAGGATGTGATGCGAAAGAAATTATAAATAGTTCTATATGGTGGCACGGACCAAGCTGGTTAACCAGCGATCATAAAACTTGGAAAAAAACTGTTTGCGAATTAAAATATACCGAAATACCAGAAGAGAAGGGTACACCGAAAACTGTTGCATTTTTAGCACAACCGGTTATAAACGAACAAATATTAAACAATTATTCCTCCTGGAATAGATTATTGCGCATTTTTTGTTATTGTTTACGTTTTATAAAAATAAGAATAAAAAAAATTAAAGTAGTTGGTCCAATATTATCAGATGAATTAAAAGAAGCTGAAATAATTATAATTAAAATAGCTCAAGCTTCCTATTGGTCCAGTGAAATAAATGATTTAAATAAAAATTGCACTTTAACGATAAAAAGTAAATTACATAATTTACAACCCTTTTTGGAAAACGGAATTATACGAGTCGGTGGCCGCATAAAAAATGCCAATCATGTGAGTATAGCACAGCGTCATCCTATTCTGATTCCAAAAAATAGTATTATTGCGAAATTAATATTGCGTAACGAACACGATCGACTTTTGCATGCAGGCCCGCAAGCAATGTTAGCAAACAGTCGATTAAAGTACTGGATAATTGGAGGCAGAAATATTGCTAGACATATATTTCACCAGTGTGTAAAGTGTTTTCGACTTCGACCAACAGTAGTTGAACCAATAATGGCGGATTTACCATCGGAACGACTGGAGCCAAATCGACCGTTTAAAAAATGCGGGGTTGACTATGCCGGTCCTATTACCATAAAAACAAGTTTACGAAGAAATGCTACAACAATAAAAGGGTATATCTGTGTGTTTGTATGTTTTAGCACTCGGGCAGTCCATATTGAATTAGTTGCTGATCTAACTGCTGAAGCATTTCTAAATGCTTTAAAACGCTTTATTGGACGCCGCGGTGTATGCTCCGATATATTTAGTGATAATGCTACTAATTTTGTGGGAGCTAATAATAAATTGTTAGAGCTAAAAAAAATATTTCATAATGAAGAGCATTTAACTAAAATATACGATGCTTTATCGTCTGAGGGCATAAGGTGGCATTTCATACCCCCTCGATCCCCTCATTTTGGCGGATTGTGGGAGGCTTCCATTAAATCTATAAAAAATCATTTATACCGAGTTTTAGGTACGGCTAATCTGACATATGATGAACTGAACACCATCTTAATTAAAATAGAGGCAGTCCTTAATTCCAGACCTTTAACCCCATGTTCCTCCGATCCTACTGATACGACACCATTAACACCAGCTCATTTTTTAATTGGTGAACCTACCTGTTCATTACCGGAGCCAGATTTAACTGGTATACCAGAAAATCGATTAAAACGTTGGCAGCGGGTAACGCAATTGACTCAAATATTATGGAAGCGCTGGAGTAAAGAATATTTATCGCAACTTCAAACGAGGCAAAAGTGGTTAGCAAATAGGGGCCCTAAGCTCAAGATCGGTACTATAGTATTAGTGAAAGAAGACGACGTGCCCCCGATGTCTTGGTCAATGGGTCGAGTTGTTCGTGTCCAAGCTGGTGACGACGGTGTCATCCGAGTGGCGACTATATTATCAAAAGGAAAAGAAATATCCAGAGCTGTCCGTAAACTTTGTCCTCTTCCTTTTGAGGATAATAGTTCGTAAAATATTTTTTTTTATTCTATGATATCTTATTGATATTTAAATATGGCATGTATTATGAAACATTCTAATTTATTTATATTTAACAATGTCTTTACTTATATATTTATATTACTTATTCCTTTATTTAATTTTGTGTGTTTACATCATTTATCTATTTATTGTGAACTTTTGTTGAAAAATATTTTATATGCATTTGTTTTACTGTATTAATACTCTAATTTTTCAAGGCGGGCGGCATGTCGACGCGTATATTATACTTCAGAAATGTCACTATTATTATTATTATCTATTGTTATGTTATCTTATGATCGCCAATGTCGATCCGATCCATGTACGAATGTTACCTATTTTAGTGTGTGTTTAACCGTGTATCCATGTACATAGGTGTCGGGTTATGTGTTCGAAAATGATATGTTCGAATGAAATGTGTCGAATAAAAATGTTCGAAAGTATATGTTCGAATTAATTTTTGTTCGAATAAATTTGTGTTCGAAAACTTTAATGATTATATTGATATAGATATAGAGATATATATAGTATATTACGCCGTATATTCGACCTATTAGACCGGTACTGGGAATGATAGTTAGACGGTTAGACGATAGACGCATATTATAACATTAATAGATATCTAATAGAGCAATAACTTAAATCTACTTGTTATCGTAATATTTTTGTGTGTGTAACATACGAACTGTAATTCACCCACTACTGCAGTATATTTGATTTTCAGACCGTTATAATGAAATAGGAACGAATATGTCGATGTATTATAAAATTATCACCTACTATACATAAGAAAATATTATTAGTGAATGAATATGAATTCATGTTTACTAAGAATAATTTCGTAAACGTGATAATGAAATGTGTACTATTGATTCAGTCAAAAATGGGAAGCATTGAACAATTATTAAAAACAATGAACATATTAAAGACGAACGTATACACGTGAACTATTCACACGCACCAAATCCAATTCAAAATGAATGTAAAATACTTAAAATAAAATAAAAACTGCTGCGTATTGCAATCTCAAGAATCTTACAAAGTACATGTAAATGAACGAAGTACATCAGA